AAAAAAAAAAAAAAAGAGTTTGGCCTCAATACACTTGCTTATTCTAGATACCACATATGTAGTTAAGTGCCATTGAGTCATTTTGCATCCCTTACAGATTGTGTGGCTGTACATCTTCACCAGAGCAGCCAGTCTCATCTTTTTCCTGTGGAGCAACTGGTGGGTTTGAACCACCAACCTTGTGGTTGATCCACAGTACCACCAGGGTTCCTTTGTAATAGACTACAGCGTAGTATAAATATAACTTTTATGTAGACTGGGAAACCCAAAAAAATGTGGTGATATTTGCTTGATTATGGTGGTGTGGAACCGAACCTACCGTATTGCTAAGGTATGCCTGGAATAAGACGGCCATTCTAAAAGCACTGTTACAAAATCATAGAAACCTTTGCTAAACAAAAATATCAAAATGTGAAGCTACTCTTCCTCAATACATCCATCATCTAGGTCTACACATTTCTTAAGGCAGTGGCAGCACTTTGAGACAAACACTCGACTGTTAAACGCATGGTTGTTGGTTCAAACCCATCCGCTGCTCTGCAGGAGAAAGATGAGGCTATGGGTTTCTTGTAAAGTTACTGTCTCAGAAACCTTATAAAGGGCCACTGTGATTCGGACTTGGCTTCAGTAACAGAAGGTTTGGTTTGGTGGGTAAGCCTTCACTAAAGAATTCTTAGTCCTTCCATTTATACTACATGAAAATAGCAGTGTTGACACACTTGAGGGACTCAAATAGTTTTCCTATGAAATGTTGAGTTTGGGGAACAAGCAGAAGTCTGAAGGGGCAATATCAGAGCTGTAGGGTGGGTGGAGTAAGATTTCCCAACAAAATTCTCACAGAACAGCCTTTGCTACCCTCAGAGGAAGAAGAGGCACACTGTTGTGATGGGGGTGGGGGGATTCCTCGGTGCAACTTTCCTGGCCTTTGGCTCACCAATGTCGTTTTCAATTGTCTTAAAACTTTTTTATATATAATAAGTCTCCATGACTTTCCTGAGTCCTTTGAGAAAATCTATCAAGATGTTGTTGTTAGGTACCATCGAGTTGGTACTGACCCATAGCTACCCTATGCACAACAAAACGAAACACTGCCCAGTCCTGGGTCAACCTCACTACTGTTATCGCGCTTGAGCCCATTTATGCTGCCACTTTGCCAGCCCATCTCGTTGGGGGTCTTCCTCTTTCTCTCTGACCATCCACCTTACCAAACACGATACCCTTCTCCAGCGACAGGTCCCTCCTGACAATATGTCCCAAGTTTGAGAGACAAAGTTTGGCCATCCTGGCCTCCAAGAAGCACTCTGGCTGCACTTCTTCCAACATAGATCTGTTGGTTCTTTTGGCAGTCCTTGGCACTTTCAATATTCTCCTCCAACACCATAACTCAAAAGCATCAATTCTTCTACACTCTTCCTTATTCATTGTCTGGCTTTCACATGCATATGAGGTTATTATCAAGATGACCCCTCTGGAATCCCCAAAACAGTCATTATAACCTTCTGAGTTGCCCTCTCTGTCTTGAATTTAGCTGGTCTAGCACATCCCCTCGGAAGTCACTGTTTGGATTGGACCTCTTTTTGAAGGCACCCTATTGAGATGAAGATGAGGGTATTCCTGAGAGAAGTTGTCTGCAGCCATCCACTGATCACAGTGACATGTTCAAACGCGTTTTATGTGGAATAAACCAGGGCGTGTATGAACTGGAGCCCTTGTAGCAATACTTTTGCCTTAACATAGGTAATACGCCATCTATAGCCAACACTATTGCATTTATTTATTCATTTTTGCCTTCCCCTTCACCGAAGTTTATAATCTTTCCCGTCTAGTTAGTAATTGACCCTCCTTTCCCTCCCACCCCTGATAAGTGTGCAAGAATGTGTCTGTTAGTGTGAAACCTTTTTCTTGACTTATGACAACAGTTGTTGTTATTATGTGTCGTGGAGTCAGTTCTGACTCATAGCGACCCTGTACAGGGTTTCCGAGACTGTAAATCTTTACAGGAGCAGAAAGTCTCATCTTTTTCCCATGGAACAGCAGTTTCGAACTGCTGACCCTGAGGTTAGCAGCCCGATTCATAACCACTATGCTACCAGTCTCCTACAATATTTGTCCTTTTGTGACTAATTTCACTCAGCACAATGTACTCCTGGTTCATATGTGTTATGAGGCATTTCAAAGACTCACCACTTTTCTTTAATGTAGATAGTATTCCATTGTGTGTATATAGCACAGTTCGCTTGTTCACACTTCAACTGATGGGCATTTTGGTTGTTTCCACATTATTTTTCTCTTGTGAACAGCACTGTGATGAACAGGGGTATACATAGATCTATTTATATTTCTCTCAAGTATATACCAAGTATTAGGAGTGCTGGACCACATGGTATTTCTATTTTCAACTTTTTAAGGAAGCACCATATGGTTATCCATTGTGATTGCAACACTTTTTGACTTATCCTCATTATTTGTCAAAATGTGCATTTTTGTTAGCTTGCTTCTTTTTGCCCTTTGAAAACAGGAGGAAATGGTCTTTAAGAAGAAAACGAGCTTATGCTTTCTCTTGTCCTTGTTGTTTTGTGCCGTTGAGTCACTTCTGACTCATAGAGAACTTGTATAGGGTTTCCAAGAGTGGCTGGTGTGTTTGAGCTGCCAACCTAGAGGTTAGCAGTCCAGTGCTTATCCAACAATGCCACACCACAGTTTACAGCATTGTCTTTGAGATTCCAGCCAAGGGAGTGGAAAGTGTTCTAGGGAAATAGTATCTTATCTCTCAGTTATTGTGGATGGGTGATAAATGGAATCCCAGAGAAAGAATCTTCTCAAGAAGGAGACCCCAGGCCCCACCCAAAAGTAAGTAGAGAGGATGAGAGACCAGAAGACCCCAGGAGTCTTGCAGTGGGAATGAGATCCATCTAACCACAGGACATGGGAAAGGGTGCAGGCTGTGCTCATGAATGAAAGGGTGTGCATTACCATTGGGTTCCTTCTAGCTCTCATTGATAAAGCTGTCTTGCCTTACCCAGAGACCTAGATACAAAACAGTGGGACCACAGTTCATGAGCTTGGCCTGGGCCCAATTTCCCTGGTCTCTCGTGAATCTGAAAATCAGTGCTACTGAGACAAGACTGCCAATAATACCACAACACTTTCAATATACTTTATTAAAAAGTTTCTTTGTATAAATTTCCTAAAAAACTTTAAAATTAAAATTAAAACCCCCACCAAAACAAACAAAAATTTTTTTTTAAAAAAAACAAAACAAAACCACAACATTAGAGGAATGCCAAAAATATTCTATGTTATGACTTTGTAAAAATTCTTTAATCAGGGCATTGGTCCCAACAGTGCACCAAGATGAAGGGATTTAGCTTCCTTCTGTCTAGATCATTTGTTACAGGCAGAAAAGATCATTAGCTTGAAATCTAATCCAGGAAGCTGGAATAAGTGGAAAAGTTGGGCTCGTGTTCATCCATCACACACAGGCTTTTCATCTAAACATCATGCTTAATTAAGGGGGGGGCAGGGATGAATCAAGCGAAAGTATATAAAGTAGCTGTGGAGTTGAGGGTAATTTTCTAGACCTTGCATTTGCCCGAAACAGGCATAACATGAAACTCCAGAGGGAATTTGAATTTATAGAAATGTTCACATAAACACCAGCAGTGGGTAACTATTACACAACCTTCAAGGTATACACATGTAACTGTCTGGGAGACAAAGAGCATTGAGTCCACAGACACATTTAGCACCATATTGGTAGGACATGCAGAAGAACGTCTCCTCTCAAGTTTGAGCATAAACCAAAGCATGAAATGCCACAGTGCAAGGTCATCTGTATCCAGGGATTCTACAAAGACAAGTTGGAAATGGCTGAATGCTTCTTCTTCAAGAGGTATGTGTTGCTGGTGCACCAAGTCTAGGTTCCCATTGCAGCGATGGCTCCGGAGTTGACCAGTACTGGATGTTAATGGCAGGATGGGCACAGTGAGGTGAGAGAAGGGAAGAGAAGAGGAAAAAGCACATTACTGACCCAAAAGAACCCTGTGCCATTTTACTGAGAATGACTCCTTTCTTTCTTATTAAGGTTCCCATGGCAAATCTCACTTTTCTGCTCAGTTACTTTCAATGGTTCCCATGAACTTCTTGGCTGATCTATTAGACTCTCTGCAACCTGAGTCCATTCTTTTGCTTCCATTAGCTGCCTGGCATTTATGTAAACTGAACTCTCTCTATTCTGGCACTGGCGCACATCTCTCTTTTAAGATGCTCCTACTGTATATCGTTCTGTTGTACATAGGATCACTATGAGTCGGTACTGACTCCATGGCACCTAACAACTACAACAACACTGTATTACCCACCGAGATATTGGATGGTCCCCAGTATCAACATTATTATCTATAGGAAGCAAACTTAACATAGGACATATGGTAGCTCTTTATCTTTGGTGTCCTTGTAATTGTTCATGGTATTATTTTTCCTAATAATCATGGTTGATATTAAGGACTAAGTAACACTTCCTAAGAGTGACAAATAGTCAGTCCTGTGTTCCTACTTGGTCCAAAAAAAAAGAAAAAGAAAGTATACAGGTATGTTTTTAGGAGACAAAATAAGAGATTAGAAAAATTAATTTATGGGCATTATCTGAGAATATGATTTATTTTCTTTTTCATCATATATCATAATCACCATAATTCAAATGTTTTTTGTGAGTGACTAAATTAAACCATTTCTGTTGTTGTTGTTGTTAAGTTCTGTCGAGTCAGTTCCGACTCATAGCGACCCTGCAGAAGCATTTCCAAAGAGCAGTTGGTGGGTTTCAACCACCAGCCTTGTGGTTCAAACTGACATCATGGTCCAGTGCTTAGCCTATGGTACCACACCGGGACTCCTCTTATGTTGTTGTTGTTAAGTGCTGTCGAGTCGGTTCCGACCCATAGCGACCCTGTACAGGGTTTCCGAGGGTGTAAATCCTTACGGGAGTAGAAAGCCTCATCTTTCTCCCGCGGAGCAGCTGGTAGTTTCGAACCGCTGACCTTATGGTTCGCAGCCCAATTCGTAACCACTACGCTACCAGGACTCCTCTTACAGGACTTGCAAAAGCCATAACAAAAGCATGGTCACTCACCAGGAGCGCAAACCTTTTCACATTCTTTCTGTGAATCGAATCTGTTTTCGTTTCCACCACAGCCTCCATACCAGAATCGCCCACAGCTTTTGCTCTCCAAATCATAGTGCCATTTTAATATGAATTTTTTGCAGGTTCCTTCATCCTTTGGCAACTTGCATATATCTGTAATGAGAAGATGAGAAAAGAGCATTCATGAGAACATGTACAGTACAGCGTGTCCCGGGCTGAGCACCATACTGCAGGGAGAAAAGAGAAGAGGGTTTCTAGGTGGGAAAGTCTCTCATGTGCTTTCCAAGTCTTGGTTCCCTCACTGGCTAATGGACATAACCAGGGATCACACTGTGAGGAATCAGTAATCTTGATGAAAGCACTCCCTAAATTGCAGATGGTAACACAAGAGGTGTTGCTGTTAAGTGCCATCGAGTTGGTTCTGACCCATAGCAACCCTGTATAGTGTTTCCAAGGAGTGGCTGGTGAGCTTGAACCTCTGACTTTGCTATCATTATTGACAGTTAAAGTGGAAATGAACTGGGTTTCCCCATCATTTTGATCACTAGCCCATTTATTTTCTAATCACTTCAATGCTAAGATTCCCAGAGAAGAAGCTGAACTTTAAAACTCCGGCATTTTTCACTGCTTCGGGGGGACAAAAATAGCAATTGGATTGTGTCAGAAATACGGTTAAAAAATAAGGCATTTCATCACAAGCCAAGAAAATAAAAGTTACAGTGGAAAGAAAAAAATCCTTTATGTGTTGTGTGTGTATGTGGGGGGTGGGGGAGTTATGTGTATGTATATGCGTATGTGTGTGTGTGTATAACTGAGTGGTCCACCAGATTAAACAAGTCAGTTAAAGAGAACCATGTACACACTGATGTAAATTAATGAGAAGGCAAAAATGTCACACAGCAAAGCGATTCAGAAGGCAGAGAAGCATTCTTTTCCCAGTTAAGGAAGTTTATGTTTCAGCTGAAAATTTTTGACGGAGGCCAGCTGCAAAGCAAGATCTAGAGCCTCTTCAGTGCCTGGAAAGGGATGTTCACAGTTCATCCTCACTAAGACTTCTGTTTACAGAGCCTTCTGGCAAACCCCAGATGGTCTGGGAGGAAGGCCTTGATGTCAACTGTTATCTAAAAGTTGGAAAAACGCAAACCTCCTATCAGGAAGTCTCATGGAGCTGATCACACGATGTTTACATAAGTAGCTAACATGTAGGAATCACATCCCGAATCCCCCAATAAAGTGTCCATCTGCTTTGATCCTTGGGTTGTTCACAGCTCCAGAGTTGGTGGACATCTGCAGTTCTGATTGGTACCAAAGAGGAAAAGGAACATCTAAGTCACTGAGGTGGTGGTTGTGTGCCGTGGAGTCAGTTCTGACTCAGAGTGACCCTGTAGGGAGTTTCCGAGGCTGCAAGTCTATACGGGAGCAGAAAGCCTCATCATTCTTGCACAGAATGGATGGGAGTTTTGAACTGCTGACCTCAAGGATAGCAGTCCAACTCATAACTACTATACTACCAGAACTCATTGATATAGAGAACCAAAATTTATGAAGCAGATTTAATGGCCAAGAACACACTCTGTAGGTTCCTTCAGGGAAGCTATTACCCAATGTGAAAGTCCGTGGATGCCTTACATACTCCCTCTCCTGGTTCCAAGTCCTCTCAGTGGCCCACAAAGGCCAGCTTCATGACCAAGAGCTTTTGAAGACCCAATGAAACCTGAGAGAAATGATGACAAACTAGGAAACCAAATTTCCTTCTTTGAAATGTGCCAATCGGAGAAGGAAAATGGCAGTCTTTCAAAGAATGTCAGGAGGGAACCGAACACGTCAAAGCCATTCAACCACTAGCACGTGTTACTTGTTTACTGGTGAGTTTCCCTTTTAGTGGGAAATAGGCCCAGGCTAAGTAGTTTCCTTCTTTTTCTTTTCCCATGTTGTTGTTGTTGTTGTTAAGTGCCGTCGAGTCGGTTTCGACCCATAGCGACCCTGAATAGGGTTTCCGAGGCTGTAAATCTTTACGGGAGCAGATCACCTCATCTTTCTCCTGCGGAGCAGCTGGTAGTTTCGAACTGCTGACCTTCCGGTTCGCAGCCCGATTCGTAACCACTACGCTACCAGAGCTCCTTTTCCCATAGCATATCCCAAATGGCCCATCCTTATTCAACTTACTTTCTTCCAACTGTGCTTCACTCCTGGCCACGGGTACTTAGCTAGTCAGTTCCCATGCCACTGGGTTCTTCTGAACCAGACACCATAATCCATCCCAGGCCCAGAGACCTTTCAGTTAACATGAGCTTGTACCACAGGACACAGCATTTGGTCATATATTAATGTTCTCTGCATTATGCTGAGCATCTAATGGGACCCTAAAGGACAGTGAGGAGAGGGGATTGTCATTGTCAATGACCTCTCCTAGCTCACTTGTGCTTAGAAACATGCTTAAAAGCCACGCAAAGGGATACCTGGTTCAGAACATCATCTGGTGAGACCCTAGGATTTTGATCTCTATATTGGCCAGTGGGCTTCAGTGATCATCCGCATATGGAAAAGGGAATTGCTGCACATGCAGTGCCCAGATAAAACCCAGCTCAGGAAATCCTTCACATTCGCAGAAGCCAAGGAACATCTTCAAACAAGGATGAGCTGAAAGGCACCCAGACACCCACACGTACCATTCATAGAATAGTTGGATGGGATACACAACAAGTCCTCAATGATGTCACCATTGACGACAGATGCTATAACGATGAGAGTCAAATCCCCTGACTTGTATTTTTCTGTACGGTCTTAATTCCTCATAATAAATATTCCTTCATTTGGCAACCAGGGGACGGGGAAATTATATTACTCTTTGAAACAGCAAAGATGGCGCATTGCAAATGTGATCTATTTCTGGTTTGCAATTTCCATAACATGGAAAAGAACCAGCTTCGACACTGTCCAAACCAGCCAGTGGACACAACTATGAGAGGGTTTCCTAAAGCAAAATGAGGGTGTGTGGGAAGTGTTTACGCTGCAACTGTAAATATGTTCCTCATAAAACAAGGAGACGGTTTACTGGCCTGACTCTGTTGACCTCAGGAAAGGCTTGCAAACCTGGAAATGTATGATTTGCTTAAATCCTTTCAAACACCCACCATTCCTGCATCTACTTTTGGAGCACTAATTGGTTTGGGAAGTACTGAGGAAACTTTTTTGTATTTTTAACCTTATTTTTTAAGTAGCTGTGGTTATGTTTTGGACCTTTTACTTTTTCAGATCTTGACCAATAGAGTTTTTAGAAAGATGTATATGTCATAATACAAAAACAAAACAAAACAAAATGTCAGATAAGCTTTGAGGATCATCATAACCCAAACACTGCACCAGTACCGAGACAGTCTCTGGCTGCAGTCAACAGAAGGATTTGAAGATGTGCTCTGTCTTTTGACCCAAGTACAGCAAATAACTTGTCATGACTTCATTTACTTCAACTTGTGGGGCGAAGTGAATTCTTTAAATGATTATTCACATGAAGCCGAGGCTTTTCCCCATCACATACGGCTGCTGCCAATCAATAATTCAGCCTTTGGTGGAGCTGCCAACGAGCTGTCTTTCAACAACACTCAAACATCTTGACTTTGTGACGCACTATGATTTTATCTTCTGTGGAATACCACCGAGCACTGCCAGTAAACCAGGACATGTTATCAACCGCAAGTCATAGTCCAATTTTAGAGGTGTTACAACAGAGTCCTGGGGTGGGGGGGATTCAATGGACCGAAAGGTCAGTTTGAACCACAAGGTAGGCGGTTCAAATCCACCAGCCACTCCTCTGAAACCCTATACAGTGTGGCTATGAGTTGAACTGACTTGACAATGCTTAACAACAACAACAATGGGGGAAATGATACATCTTATAATCAAAAATTAGAATAAGTAAGATGTTGGAGACCGTATTCCTTCCAGAGTTAAGTGACGTATGTATATTTCAACGTCTTCATCTCATGTACTCTGGACATGTCATCAGGAGGGACCAGTCCTTGGAGAAGGAACAGCATGCTTGGTAAAGTAGAGGGTCAGCAAGAAAATAAAGGAAGACCCCCAATGGATCGGTACAGTGTCAACAGCGGTGTTTCATTCTGTTGGCAGTGGGGAATGCTGTAAGGTACAACTGGCTCAGAGGAACCTAATTACCACAACAATGTCTGCTCAGGTAAAGTGCTGTGATGTGGCCAGTTCTACTGAGGGTTGATTTTTTTTAAATTGTTGATTACTTTGGCAACTTCAAATGCTGAAAGCCTTCCTCAATATGGACAGATAAGCCAATACTTTAGGATTCATTTCATCGTACAGCATATGGTAAACTTTCTGAGTCTGTTTAATGCACACACACACTCACATACCCACAATCACACATACACATATAAAATGGTGAGAGAACATACAACTCCGTACATTAGAGTGCCATGGACTAATCAGCACACAAGAGAAAGATTTGAGATTCATCTGTGTCAAATCATAGATAACTTTAAAAGAAAACATGAGTCCCATTTTCAAAACAACACGTTTTATCACATGTGGGAGCACAGTGGTTCCATGCAATAAACACTGGACTGTGAACCACAAGAGCGGCGGTTGGAGCCCACCAGCATCTCCACAAGACAAAGATGAATCTTTCTGCTCCCCTGAAGCTTTTTAAAAGCCTCAGAAACTCTATCCAGGGTTGCTATGTGTCCGAACTGATTCCACGACACTTAACAACAACTTTATCATATGCAGAGGGGAGCCCTAAATATAAAGGTCAAGATTGAAAACACATTCCTAGTGTGGACCTTACAAAACCAACATTAAGAAATGAAACAAAGCAATCTAGTCACATTCTTGTTTAAAGATCGGGTTGTTTATGTTAACTAAACACTGTTTATCTATCCTTGAACCTTCTGATCCACAAATGAGAAATTCAAAGGCATCTCAGGATGATACTATCTAGCTGATTCCAACTCACTTTCTCTAAAGGAAGCACTGAGTTTACTAGAAATTACACTTTTCCCATCCTCCATTGGGGTAAAAAGGAACATGGTGGCTCTGTAGGATAAGCCCCGGGCTTCGAATCACAAGGTCAGTGGTTCAAACCCACCTGCTGTGATGTCAGTCAACAACAACAATGTTGGAGTAAAAGTAGCCCTGTGTCTATGAGTCGGAAAGCATTTACCAGCTGATCTCAGAAATATCTCAGATCGGGCTCCAGACCAGCACAAGAAAACAAGTCACACGTATGTTTTGTTTTCCCAGTGCAAAGAGAAGTTATGTTTACACAATCCTGTAATCTGCTCAGCGTATAATGTTGCTGGTGTTGTTCAGTGCTGTTGAGTCAGCTCCTACTCACAGTGACCCTGAATAGGGTTTCTGAGGTGCACCTGGTGAGTTTGAACTGATGACCTAGCAGCTCAAACCGACCTTGAGATCAAGTGCTTATCCTATGGTGTCACACTAGGACTCCAAGTGTGTAAAAAGTTTGAAATATTTAAGAATTGTCAAACTGTGACAGAGAGATAGGAAGTGAGCACATGCTGTTGGTAAAAGGCTTGATCAACACAGGGTTGCCACCAACCTTGCATTTGTACAAAACGTAGTATCTGCAAAGTGCAGTAAAGAGAACTGTTTGGATGGATTTCAGTGACTATGAGTCCAGGGCTGACTCTGTTCTGACTCTATTTTTGGAGACATTTTCCTGTGGTCTTGTGGCTTCTCTCTACACTCAAGCACATATTGGGCAGCCCAAGAACAGGACCCAGGAGTAGAGCTAAGTGGGTTAGGAAGCACAGTGCTGGCAATGCAAGGGACAAAGGCTTATCCGTGGTCCCTTCATGTGAGACACTGAGGGCTTCATATGAGCCCATATCAAAATGGCTGAGACTTGAATACTCTTGTTCACCCCTTTCTTCACTCCACACCCTTACTGGTATTTTAGGCTCTGGTAGCGTAGTGGTTACGAATCGGGCTGCGAACCTTAAGGTCAGCAGTTCGAAACTACCAGCCGCTCCGCGGGAGAAAGATGAGGCTTTCTACTCCCGTAAAGATTTACACCCTCGGAAACCCTGTACAGGGTCGCTATGGGTCGGAACCGACTCGACGGCACTTAACAACAACAACAACAAGCAGACATATGGAGATTTCTGTTGCTTCCTTGTTTTAAAGGAAAGTCTATCAACTAAAGCATTGTTGTTGTTGTTGTTGTTGTCAGGTGCCATAGAGTCAGTACTGACTCATAGCGACCCTATGTGCAACAGACTGCCCAGTCCTGGGCCAACCTCACCATTGTTGTCACACTTGAGCCCACTAATGCTGCCACTTTGCCAATCCATCTCACTGGGGGTCGCCCTCTTTTTCTCTGACCCTCCACCTTACTAAACATGATATCCTCCTCCAGCAACTGGTCCCTCCTGACAATATGTTTGAAGTATGAGAGATGAAGTCTGCCCATCCTGGCCTCTAAGGAGCACTCTGGCTGCACTTCTTCCAACACAGATCTGTTTGTTCTTTTGGCAGCCCATGGCACTTTCAATATTCTCCTCCAACACCGTAACTCAAAGCATCAACTCTTCTATGGTCTTCCTTATTCACTGTCCAACTTTCGGAAACCCTATACTCAACGTCACTTAACAGCAACAACAACAGTGGCATCACATAAATGGGGTGTGAGGTCGAGAATACACAGCATCCATGAAGTCTATTTAAACTGAGCTGGGATGCAGATTGTACAGGAAGGGTACGAGGTAGAAATAAATGTCAGTTTAAAAAAAACAATTTCATCTTGTCTGTTTATCCTGAGCAAAGTTTGAAGCTGCCAAGTATTTCATTTTACTTGGATCCACAATCAACACTCAAGGAAGCAGCAGTCAGGAACTCAAAAGATGTACTGCATTCAGCAAATCTGCTGCAAAAGAGTTCTTTGAAGTGTTAAAGAGCAAAGATACCACCATTTTGAGGACTAAGGTGTACCTGACCCATGGCATAGTATTTTCAATGGCTTCATATGCATGTGAAAGTTGGACGATGAATAAGGAAGGCAGAAGAAGAATTGATATGTATGGAATATGGTGTTGATGAAAAATATTGAATAGACCATGGGCTGCCAGAAGAACAAACACATTTGTCTTGGAAGAAGTACAGCTAGAGAGCTCCTTAGAAGCAAGAATGGTGAGACTTTATCTCTTGTACTTTGGCCATGTGATCAGAAGGGATCAGCCCTAGATTAAGTAAAGGGTCAGCACAAAAAGAGGAAGACCCTCAGTGAGATGGATCGATACAGGGGCAGCAACAATGGGCTTAAACTTAGCAATGATTGTGAGGATGGTGTGGCAATGGTGCGTGTCTAGTTCTGTTGTATATGGGGTCCTGAGTCACGTCCAGCGACTCCTGATCAATCATGAAAGATGTTCCAATACCCTGAGGGTTGTGTACACCAGGTTAACCCAGGAGGTGTGTTGAGGGAATTAACATCCAAATACCCATTCCATGAGCTCCAAGCTAGTTTGCTTTTTGTGCTTTGAAGCCATTTGTTATTAGATTGAGTTACTGAGTGGATGAAGGTCTACTCTTTTCAGCATCTTAACCGCAAGTCATTCCAGCCCCAGAAGGAGGCATGAGGAGAATGACTAATGGACACATGCGTTGCTGGCCGTAGCTCCTAAAGCAACTCCCATGCAGTTTCCTGGAGAGCCTGATGACAGGCAGGTTAAGTGACCATTACCACTTGGGAAGTGCAGAACGAGACCTGGAAGACCACACAGAGACCAGATTCAAGGTTTCCCTTCAGAAACCAGGCAGGGCTGAGCTTAGAACTCAGATTGAAGACTTCAAAGCCTTTACAATGTGGGGAAGAATGGACTTAATACCTACACAACTCACCTGTCTCAGTACCAACCAAAGGTTCGGTGTTCACCATCAGATTGATGGTGGAGCTGGAGGCTGACCGTGCCGGCTGTGGAGGTGGAGGCTGAGATTTTTCTACAAAAGGAAAATAAGTAAATAAATAAAAAATAACAAGCAAATAAGAAATGGAATGGCTGATGGATTCTTAGCAATGGACACAAGTTTGTCTTTCATGATCAGTGCCTGTTAGTCATAGATACCTGAGGAGTCTCCACAGATCCTCAGCTCATCTATCCATCTGACGAAACCCACGAACTCTTGAACATGGATCCTCTCTCTCATCCCCTATAGAACCTCTTCTCCTGCCAGAATCCTGGGTGAGGATGAGTCTTTGGGATTCGTATCTTTATGGGTGTGCTCCACGGTGCCTGGTGGGAACTCACTTTCCCTAATCTGAATAACTAACACTTATTTGATCTAAACAACACTTACTTGATCTAAACAACTCCAACCCAAAGAGAAGACAGAGCTCCACACACACACCCTGTGAGAAGTGGGGGCAGAAAGAATGGGAGGGGGTATCCAGAAGAACTTAGAGGAGAAAGGAGGACTCATGAGTAAGTAAGGAATGCTGGACAAAAACCCCAGAGAAGGTCACCTGTAAAGCAGAGGGACCCAAGGAACAGCAGATGGCAGAGGGCAGTCAGGGCATGGTGGGACCAGACCAAAGAACCCACTGTGGTCGGGGTGATTCTGACTCCTAGTGACACTGTGGGACAGAAAGGAATTGCCCATAGTGTTTTTAAGGCTGTCCTCTTTATGGGAGCGGACGGCCAAGTCCTTCTCCCTCAGAATGGCTGGTGGATTCAAACCTTTCAGTTAACTTTGCCACCAGCTCTCCTTTATCATGGGAGTGAGGCAGGGAAATGAGAATGTTCTTTCTGCTGAGATTGTAGATGTCCAGGGCTGTAGATGGGTGGGAAATTTTGGTGGCATTTTCTACTCTCTAAACCTGGAAATATTTAGAAAATGTGGAGAAGGTGATGGGCAGTAAAAGAGCATCAGTCTGGTCATTATTCCAAGAACCAAACCAAATCCACAGCCACTGAGTTGATTCCGACTCTTAGCGACTCTGGGTGGGGTTTCCAAGGCTATAAATCCTTACGGGAGCCACTGTTGGGTTTGAACCACCAATCCTCCAGTTAACAATCCAGGGCTTATCCTATAGCCACCAGGGCTTCTGGGTCATTATTAGATACCAGAAAGCCGGGCCCTGATTCTTGGCAGCACACAACACGCTGCACCATCCTAACGGTGGGTTTCCCATCAGGCCCTTGTACTCCTGAGGGTTTTCAATGACTGAGTTTGGAAGTTGATTATCAGGCCTGTCTTCCTTCTCTGTCTTAGCCCGGATGCTCCATTGAAACCTCTTCAGCATCCTAGCAACAGACACGTATACAATGACAGATGTTGGCAGCTGTGGGTGAGGTACATTGGCCGAGACTTGAACCCACATCTTTTCATGGAGCACTGGACTGCTAACCACAAGGTCAGCAGTTCAAACCAAACAGTCACTCCTTGGAAACTCTATCCAGGGTCAGGGTCACTATGAATTGGACCGGACTCAACAGCACTTAAAAACAACAAGTCTTGTGTCAAAGGCAAGAATTCTGACACTGAACGGTAAGTGTCATCCCCCAGCCAGATACTGAGACAAATTTCCTGGGTGCTAGGTGGTTTGGGGTGGCACTCGGGACAATACACTGACTTCTCCCATAAATAGCCCAGGATGCTGGGCAGGGAGGCTTGCACATGGAACTACATCTTCCACTCTGTTGTCTGTAAGGCTGGGGTGTAACCAGAGTTTCAGGGATTTGTGTGTGTGTGTTGCTCTTTCAGATCCATATGTCCCCCTAGAAATGGGGGCCAGGGTCTATCAGCCGTGTACTCACTTGTGCTGAAGCTGCTCTGGTAGATGGCTCTGACCTGGGACCTCAGGTAGCAGACCACTGAGACATGGTACACATGGCCGCTGAGCAGGCCTCCAATGACGCGGTTCGTGCCTGTGAGGTTCTGCTTCAGAACCAGGGACTGGTCATGGGCTGCTGTAACGGTGAGGTCATAGAAATACGGACTGGGGGGCTCGGGCCTGTCCCAGTGGAGCTTGGCACTGTTCTCTGTGATCTCAGACACGTGGACTTCACGGGACATCCTCACTGCAGGATAAATATAAACAATGGGCAGAGAGCAGATCAAAAACAGGCTCCATCTGACCGGAAAAGAAAGCAAGAGAAGGCATCTGAAAGGGGGCGTCCGTAGAGAGCTGCATCTGAAAGGGGGTGTCTGTAGACAGTTGGTATCTGAAAGGGGTTATCAGTAGACAGATTATACCTTAAAGGGGGCATCAGGAGATATGTGGCATCTGAAAGGGGGTGTCAGCAGACAGATATCTGAAAGGGGGTGTCTCAGACACACAACTGTAAGGGGGTGTCTCAGACAGACATCTGAAAGGGGGTGTCAGTAAACAGATGACATCTGAAAGAGGGTGAGAGTAAACAGTTGGCATCTGAAAGGGGGTGTCAGTAGACAGCTGCTTCTGAAACTGAGATGAGGTAGGGAGCTGATTGCTCATTCAAGCTCTTGAGAAATACTGGTTCTTGCAATTAACCCTAACCACAAAATAGGAATCCATAGAAATTAGAATTCAAGTTATTCATCGGTGGGAACAGTACCACCATTTTCTTTTCATGAAAATTCTCTTCAATTAACAAGATAATTTGCCGACAGGGGGACTAGTGTGCCCATCTGGAAGCTAACTGTTTAGTACAAACTGAGCTGCAGTCTGCATGCTCCTTAGAATCCAGGATGGCCAGACTGTGTCTCTCATGTCCTTCAGACAAATTGTCAGGAGCGACTGGCCCCTGGAAAAGGACATCATCCTTGGTAAAGTGGAAGGTCAGTGAAAAAAGAGGACGCCCCCTCAATAAGATGGACTGACAGTGGCAGCAGCAGCATTGGGCTCACACATAACAATTGTGAGGATGGTGCAGGGGCGGGCAGGGTTTCGTTCTGGTGTCCACAGGGTCACTACGAATGGGAACACACTCAACAGCACATGACAACAACAACAACAGGCAAGGAGTTTCTGGGTGGTACAAATGATGAAGCACTCAGTTACCATCTGAAATGTTAGGGGATCACATCCACCCAGAGGTACCTCTAAAGAAAGTCCTGGCCATCCACTTCTGAAAGGTCACAGCCACCGAAAAGCCCACTGAGTATAGTTCTGCCCTGTCTCCCGTGGCCTCTCCATGAGTTGGAATTAACTCAATGGCAGCCAGTGGTTGGTTTTGATCCATAGGTTTGGAGTCCTTGGGTGGCAGAAGCAGTTAATGTGCTCAGCGGTTTACTGAAAGGCTGGTGACGGCCTAGCCATCCACTTCTGAAAGCCTTGTCACTTTCAGTGGAGTGGTGGAACAGTGTTAGTGTGTCATGAGTCAGAGGCCAGCCCACAGTGACCAGGATGGAATACTAGGAACACATGCTTGAAGCAAAAAATGAGGACTTAAAAAGTGACAAGCATAAGCGGGCTTTCTTACCGCCAGGATTGGTGATGGCTGGTTTCACAGCAGCTGGTTTGGCCGCCTGGAGCCTGGGGCCTGCAGGTTTTGCAGGGGCCACTGGTTTCGCAGGGGCTGCGGTTTTCACAGGGGCTGCTGGTTTAGCAGGGGTTGCGGTTTTAGCGGGGACCACTGGTTTAGCAGGAGTCACAGGTTTTGTGGCAGCTGGCTTCAGGATCACAGGCTTCACTGCCACTGATTTTGCTGCTACCACGGGTCGGATGGTGGCTGTCTTCGGAGCCTCAGGTTTGGCAGGTCCAGGCCTAACAGGGGCCGGCTTGGCAGGAGGCAGAGTGACAATAGTTGCTGGTTTGTTTGTAGTTGACCCCATTGTGGTCTCAGGCTTACTTATGGGATTAGAGGTAATATTGTTTGGAATGTTTCTGTAAAAACAAATGAAACATTAAGACCCACCCATACAGATTTTTGCCTAATATCTAAAATAGGAATCCCCCAGGTGGTGGAAATGGTTAACAGGATCTAGGTCAGAGGTTTGAGTCTACCTGTTGTTATTGTTAGGTGCCATTGAGGCAATGCCGACCCATAGTGACCTTACACACAGCAGAACAAAACACTGCCTGGTCCTGGGCCAACTTCACTATTGTTGCCACACTTGAGTCCATCGATGCTGCCACTTGGCCAATCCATCTCGTTGGGGATCTTCCTCTTTTTCTCTGACCCTCCACCTTACCAAA